CAGGTAAATATGGTAGTTTTGGAATACACTAAGCTCAGCAACTATTAAGGGAGTCTTCACACGTGTGTGCATCATTTTTTCTCAGCAAAAGCAATATTCCTAAGTGAAGGTCAAATCAGCATGACAAACATGGCTAACTTTTGGTTCTCAATCATGCCAGGCAGGAGAAACTTGCTTGCTTGAAATATAGTTAATCTCACTTGCAGAGGCCAGCATTTAATAGCAGGCAAACTTGGCAGGTAGAAATTATAAATACATTTGAAATTTTTCTCAGCTCGTTTTACCCACCAGGGGTTGCTGTGATTTTTGGGATAATTTAAAGATAAGGCAGCAGGTCAGAAAATGAAACGTTAAAGAAGTTAACAAAGAAATGGCAGAATATTCCTTTCTCCCCAATAAATGAAAGAAGATGCACATACATGCACACGCACATACATGGCAAATAACAGGCTCTCTTTCTCTCTGGCTCTCAAGAAAGATCCTGAAAAACTGAAGGTTTTCTATTAATTTCATGCCTTCATTTCTTTAAGTGGAAAGATGGCTTCATCTGACACTTTGCATAAGAAAAAAGAATTTCAGGTATCAGGAACAGAAAAGAACTTGTAGGCCATGTCTCTTAAAGAACAGACCAAACAAACCACCGATTAAGTAGCATAGTTTTCATTTCAAGTGCAGACATAGACACAGCAGTTTCACCTTCCAATTCTATTACCAACACTAATCTCAAAGTACCTTCTGCAAAAATGTTCCTATGTGAACACCTCTTTAATAAACTCTTACCCAGCCAGGGGTTGAAGACATCAAAGGATCTTCCAGACTGGGATTCTGGAAAGATTACCTTTGAAGCACAGTTCTTTTGGTAAAGATACTAGAAACAGCTAAATAGTTGTGATGTTATTACATAAATTCCTCTCATTTGATTTTCAACCCAGCCTGCCATAGACAGGAAGAAGGTTGGCTAAATCTGCTGCTAAACTTGTGATGCTATCAATTGCTCAGGAGGAAGGACAGGGACCAGCAAATACAAGAGTTCAGCACAGTTCTTCTAGGTGGCAGGTCAGGAGAAACAACCAGGAAATGGATACTATGGCCTTTGGAATGGCAGAGGGTCACATCCAAGAGACGATCCTATATTGGGACTTCCTGTATAACTGCTGACCACATGCTCCCTTGGCTGTCAGTGTTAAGACTTTACAAGAAGCTAATGATAACAAGGAAATAAGGAAGATTTAACTGTCAGAAAATAGGCAGTGCAGTGTCGTTAAGAAGGTAGAGAGCTCATGAAATTGCAGGGCTTAACAGAAGGGAGAGGATAGTTTCTCAGAACAGGAAAACAATAAACATAGTTTGTTTTCTTCAAAGGAGATAGAACAAGACAAAAGCAGGAAGTGCTGTCCTTCCTTCATCCTGCCAGATTTTCAATGGAAAGTCAAGTGTGTACATTAATCATGATAAGGGGGACGAGACCAAAGTGATATCACCTTCGATTTTTTGAAAGGAAAACACAAAGATGTATCACATAATACACTGTTCTTCATTTTGCCCTTTCAAACAGCGCAGTGCATGCCACACCATGAAGTAATTCCCACTGAAATAGTCCGGTGCACGCCAAACATGACCTCTCTTTAAACTTCCTGTATGGGTCTTGCTCCTTAGCACTCAAGGCAGGCATTTGGGCTACAAAAAGAATATAATTCCATATTTTTCCAAAACAAAGATTCTGGGTCCACATAACTTAGGTGCTTAGAAGCTTTAAAGACCCTTGCTTTGCTGTGACTACAAAGGATATTCCACATATTTGGATGGTGGGCTGTTGACTGTTTTTGAGAGTCTAGGTATTTCCCAGAAAGTTCTAAAAGAATGAATACTAATCACATGCCTTCCAAATTTTGTATAAAACTAAAAACAATGAAAACAAATAATTTATTTACAACATAATCTCATAGTTGTACAATTAATTTAATATGCTCCCTGGTGGGCTCAGCCTATGATGTCATTTCTAGGACAGAAATCGAATTTCACTAAATTCCATTAAATGAGAGTGAAATAATATATATGGCTGCCTCACTTACGAATTTGGTTGGTTATAAAAATTTTGTTACAGTCAGTATTTTGGATCCCAGAATACATTTTAAAAGAATAAAAAAGGAAACAATCATTGTTCGAAAACAGTAGTTAGTCCCAGGGAAGCCTGTACAAAATCCATTTACCCCTTTATATATTTAAAATACAGTATTATAACTATAGAAGTGGGGTAATGTGCTAGAAGAAATGATTATAGCTAATGTATATTGAGAACTTACAATACAATTGGCCAGAAACTATGCTCAGAGCTTTGCATGTATTTTCTCTTTTAATCCTCACAACAATCCTTATGATACAGATGAGGAAACTGAGCCTTGGAATGACTTTGTGACCTGCTCTAGATCACATAGCTAGTAAGTGGTGGATACAGAAGTTGAGTTCGGGGGGTTGAATTCCAGAGACAAGGTTAAATGTTATTCCATTTGCTAACTTCCAGATGTAATTATCTTTGACGGGAAATGCATTCAGCGTTTTAAACTGGGATAAGATCAGCATTCTTTTTCCTCTTACCTAAGGAGAGGGGCAAAACTTCTAGGAGGAAGGAATTAGCTATGGAGAAAGGAATTCCAGAAGACATATGGGAGAGGGGTATAAGGACTAGTAGATGGGAACTGGAGCTCACGAGGCTTTAAGTTCCCAGCTAGAGGCTCTGTCATTGGGTTCTTCTGCATGCACAGGGGCTAACTGAAATGTTTCTCTTTCTATACAGGGTTTTATTTCTTACAGAATACACAGTCAAAATTGCTTTCTTTGTTCGCCTATCCCTGAAATAAGCACATAGTCCCACTGAGGTTTTCTGAGAGTTTTCTTTCTAGCAACTGAAGAACGGTGCAAGAAGTAAAAAGGCTTCTTGCTACAAGCACATGCTCCCCCTTTTTTATTGTTTCTTTCACTTTGACCCCTGTGGAGAAAGACCAAGGTCTTTGGATAAACAAAGGATTGAAAGAGAAACCCATCTGTATCTTAGAGAAAAAAAATCTAGACTCCACGTTTCTGCAGCATTTCTCTTTAGGAAGTGTGAGGAGCTTCTGTGAGATGAGACAGATGTTCAGGATTCTGCATTCTAGAATGCTTAGGAATGGAGGAGTCAGCATAGGAAAGGAGGTGGGAGAAATTATCTTTATGGCTTATGTTACTCCTTTTTCTTCCCTTCCCTATTTTTCTACAGATCTTCCCTACAACAGGGCAAGAGGAAAAATGGACAAGATGTTGGGAAAGAGAAGGAAAGATAGAAAGAAAATTCCATGACAAAGAAATGTGAAGAGAAAGGAGTCTTCTGGCCAGTACTAAGGGGAATTAATATACGAAAGAGGTGGTTCAGGAAGATTGTACACTCACACATGAACAAAAACACATGTAATAGAACAGCAGGATCGGAATACAGAGAGATATCTGAGAGGTTGGCTGGTCCTATCTAACCTCAATGGGAGAACTGTTTTCTGGAGTGACTTTGACAGGTGTGAGGCAGGCTCTGTTTGAATATTCTACATAACCAATTTCCTTCTTGGACAGGTCCAATAGTTAGAATGTTCTTACAACATTGTCCTCTTCTAATCATTTGTTTTAGTATAAGCTCAATGAGGGCATGAAATGAGTCTTAATTACTTTTGCATCTCCACAACCTCCAACTTTGTACACTGAAGATACTCAGTAAATTATTAGTTGACTTAATGCATAAGTAGATTAATGGATATAAACTGTCCAAACAGATTGAGTCTACTTTCCAATTCTACAATAACTCTCTACATATTTGATAACAATTACGTCTCCTACACTTTCTCTTCTTCAAGCTAAATATCCACAATTCTCTCAACTAACCCTCACTGTTCTCATGACCTAACTGTACAAAACTATTCTATCATATTTGCCATTTCTCAGACAAATTCAAAGAAAATAACAAACAAGGGGTAATTTGAAGTCCTCTTATTATATTTGTTTCTCTTTGTTTTTAGCCATACAAGCTCTTTTGAATTTTCCATAACCTTCATAAAAGCATAGTATTTCAATAAAGTAATATTTATTGTAAAAAATATGAGAAAATAACGCCAACATTGCAGGTACATTTCCTTCCAGTTTTTTTTTTAAGTTTTTTAATGTAATTTGATCATATTGCATATGTAATTTTATACCCTACTTTTTTACTTAACATTATATTATAAACATTTTCTCATGTTATTATCAATTTGTCACAGAGACCGTTTTAGGTACTTATTATATTTCACTGCAGAGCTATCTAGTTATTTATTTAACCAATACCCTATGGTTGTACAGCATCCAATGCATCACAACAATAGGTAGGACTTTAGGGAAAAAAAAAATCAATGGACACGAATTTTTTCCACCTCATTCCTATCAATTTAGGACAGATTACTGTTACTGGGTCAAAGGGTCTATGTTTCTGATAAGACTTTTGAAATTCTCTTCCTGAAGATGCCTATCCAAGCCCTCAAGAATAGGTTAAATTCCCTTGTTCTATGTTACTATAGCACTCTACAGTTTCCCTTCATAATCTTCAGAACAATTTAGAGTACTTGGAATGTATTTTTATTTTCTCTTACATGGTAAACACCATTAAAGTAGATCCATGAATTATTTTTCTGACTGTGCTTTGCATAGGGCTTGGCACATAGCACATACTCAATATATATTTTATTGAATTAGCTGAATATTGTTCAATAGTCATTTATTGTTAAAGGATGTTTGAATCTGTGCCCCAGAAGCACTGTTTACATATACCCAACTCATTACATCAGTACCCTAAAAGTGTGATATCCCAAATGGGGTAGAATATTCCCAGTGTGCCTCAATTTTACCAATGAATACTGTGATTTAGAGTTCATTTCTGAGCTATTATGAATTCACTGGGTGTTATACTCTGCATTGCAAATTCACTGAGACTGAGATCCGAACATTACCAGCTCTCGGGGCAGAAAATTTCCTTCCTGGCGGGCGATGACCAGTGATGCCGTCTCTCCTTGCTTGGTGCTCCTGAGCATGGCCACGAGCTCTTCCTGAGTCTGCCCAGTGACGTCTCTTCCATTTACCTAATGAATGAAATCATAGGAACAGCAACAATTACAACACTCAGTGTCTTCCTCTAACGTCGATGGTTTTTGAAAGTAAGCAGCAAATAGGCTCCTGTAATCAGTGAAGCTCTGAAAAGATGAAAATTAAACACACAGGTGAAAACCGACCATGTTTCCAATAATATACTGACCATCATAGTTACAATGTTGGCTAAACTCAGAAAGTCAGTAATTATTATCAGTGGCTTTTTCTAAGACATCACATTGTTATAAGGGGAAAATCAAACTTCCCAATACCAGGAAATGATTCTTCAAATAGGTAGGAAGCAAATTTCAAATGCTTATACCTGCAACCATTTTCTGACCACTACGACAAGCAGAAGTGAACTATTATCACATGGCAAATTCCTCCAGAAATATGAGTCTATTGACATGTTATGATTTTCTCTATGTTTAGAAAATTATAGGTACCAGATTATCACAGATTATTAAAAGTTCTAATTTGGAGCTACATTAGTCATTTGCTACACCTTCTTTCATGATCTAGAACAACATAAAAAGCTATAGCATTGCTTTCGATGAAGATGATTTCTTCAAAGATAAATTAACAATATGTAATCATGAAGATGATGCTCTCAAACAAAAGTAAATGGAAAAATAATAACCCTCTTGCCTTGGGTATCCCAAATACGTCTCTATGCAAAATTCCTTATGGGTGTTGCCATTGCTAGCCTAGCACAGATGATGCAGCTCTGGACAAGGCATAGACCAACCTGAGACACACTGGCCCATCCTGGCAAAAGTCGAAGGGAACTGTTACAAAGGCATGGGCGTGACTTTGAAATTCTTAGCCCTAACTGAATATATGATGAACTCCTAGATTCAATCCAAATTTCTCAGGAACCCTAACAGGTAGAAATAAGAAAAAGATGGCAGGGAAAAGTTTTCATGATTATTTGGCCTCACATCACTGACCTGAGTGGGGACTTACAAAGTTAGGCAACTCGTAAACTAGTTCTAAACTTAAAGTCCTTATCTTGTCTATGAGTAATAATTTTCAATATATTATATTCAAAATATAAATGTTAACATAGGTCCATATATTTAAATGCCAAGAAATCTTTTATTGAAGATATTAATTCAAATTCTTACCTCCAAAATTCTGTCCCCCGATTGCAGGCGTCCATCTTTTATTGCTGCTCCTTTTGGTAAAATGTTTTTTACAAAAATGGGACCAGGACCATGTATGGAAGAGTCTCTGGTAACCACAGTGAAACCCAGTCCTTCAGGGCCTAGTGTATAAGGACAGGAAAATGTATAGTCACCTTGAGCATGAGTAATATTATAGTCAATCTTACAGTAAACTCTACCTAATTTAGACTAATATAAAATAAGCAAAACGTTCACATTCCAGGAGATTTTAAATATGCTTCAGTTATTTCGGTTTCAAATACGGATTATAGTTTCTGACAGGCCATGATGGTGTCAAAGTGTATTTCAGGCCAATACAGATGTGTAACACTTTGGTTTACTCAGATTCTAGGAAAAATGCACATCGTCCACTGGCCCAGGAGACTGATTTCTCAGTAAACCATAACCTAACGTCATACCTTCCTGAGAAGCAAAAGGCCACCTGACGCGAGTTTAGTCAACCTCTCCGCCACAGCCAACCTGCCTCACTGCTCCGGTGTGTCTTGATTCCCACTGTCCCCTCGGCAAGAGTCTTGCTGCTCCTGCCCTGCTTTCTGGCATCTCTAATTTCTCCCTTCTGGTGTGTTTTCACTGGGTCTAAAGATATGCTCAGACTTCTCTACCCTAAAGGACCCTAGCTTCAATCTTACTGCTTCGTCATGCTTCCATCACCAGTGACCTGCCCACGACCACATTCTTGGCATTTGACATTCTTTTCCCCTTGACACTTCATACCAGTCATTTTACTGAACTTCACTCCCTCCTTGCTTTTCATGTCCTTATTTTCTGATTATTTCCCTACCTCTCTGATCACATCACATCTGTCACTCTCTCTCTCTTACCCACTGTCCTCCCCTGTAACCACAGATGTTCCCCAAGGCTCTGTACTGGGCCAATCTGTCCTCTAGATTCCCTGCCTTGGCCAGCTCTTGGCTCAAACTATTATCTCCCTATGGAAGAGACCTAAATCTCTTGGTTTGGTCTTAAGATCTCTTTCTAATCTTTGACAAAGCTGACAAAAACATACACTGGGGAAAAGAATCTCTTTTCAATAAATGGTGCTGGGAAAACTGGATAGCTACATGCAGAA